TGCAGGAGAAAATGTCATTAGTGGAAAAAGATAGGTAGCTGTATGGAAGACTAGGGTGGGTTTCCACAGGGGAAAGTGCAAGATCAATTTACCCAAATGGCCACACAGGCTTGTAGTCCAATGTAGTGGTTAAGAATTGAGCTTTGGCCTTAGCTGGTTTGGCTCAGTGGATAGAGCGTCAGCCTGCAGACTGAAGGGTCCCAGGTTCAATTCCAGTCAAGAGCACATGCCCGGGTTGTGGGTTCGATTCTCAGTAGGGGACGTGTAAGAGGCAGCCAATTAATGATTCTCTCTCATCATTGATGTTTCTATCTCCCTCTCCCTCTCTGAATTCAATAAAAATATATTTAAAAATAAAAGAATTGAGCTTTGGAGCCAGACTGCCTGGGCTTGGGTCTACTGTTTCCTTGGGCAAGTTACTTAATCTCCCTGTGCCTCAATTATCAAATGAAAATAATGTGTAAAATGGAACTAATAAACCTACCTATTTCATTTAAAGGGTTAGGAGGATTAAATGAGCATGTGAAAAGCCCTTACACAATGCTTGGTGTAAAGTAAGTAATAAAATGTGATACATGAGGAATCATGGTGCTAATGTGATACCATCTCACAACCACTGCTTCTGAGGCCTTTTGGGGGGTTTTGACTATCAGATATTGGGTGCAACTACAGATAACAACACAAAGTGCTTTTGAGGCATTAAAATTGTGTTAGAATATTTCTGACTCTAAACAGTGCTTTAGAATTTATCCTTATAGATGTCTCACTATGCAAGGGTTTTTAATACTATTTTACAGTTTGTGTAACAAGATGTAATTTTAAAATTCAAAAATAAATGAGTTTATTTTTAATGAAACATTTCAAATGTAGAGAAAATTTTCAGAGTAACAATAAAACCATATTCCCACTTTCAGAGCTAACAAATGTTAACATTTTGCAAGATTTTTTAAAAATAAAATATGACAGATGGAGTAGAAGCCCCTTTCTCTGTGCTTCTCAATCCCAATATATTTTCTCTCTTTTCCCCATTAAACTGCATTTGGTGTGATTACCAATGTCTCTGTAAACACCACACAGCATCATTATAGTTATATATCTAATATCATACTCTACAAACTTTTTATACTCAATATTATCTTTTCTAGATTTATCCCTGATTATACAGTTAGATATAATTTCCCCATTTTAATGGCAGAATAGAATCCTATTAAATGAATATACCAGTTGGTTGAATCATCCCACTGAGGATTCATTATGGTTCTTGCATTTGTATCTCTTTTAGCCATTTTTTTTTCTTTGAATATTGCTTTCCCTGTTCTCCCTAATCTCCTGTTAAACATATGTTGGATCACCTCATCAACCATTCCATCTCTATGCCTAATCTGTTGATTAACAAACACAGGGTGGTTGTTTTGTTTTGTTTTTCAGTGGCTGTATTTTTCATGTCTAGAAATTCTTTTGGTTCCTTTTCAAGTCCACCTGCTCTTTTTTCATACTATTCTTTCCTATCGTTTTCTTCTTTAATATTTCCAGCCTGCTTGTTTGATACTCTTTTGGATTGTTCTACTCTCTTCAGTTCTTGACATACTAATTCTTTATACCTTCATCTACTGCCTCTCTTAGTGATTTGTTTTCTTATGTATTTGTAATTTTGTATTTTTGCTTTTTTAATTTTGTGTCCTGAATAGTAGAAATGCCTTACCAGGTTTCATGTTGTTCTCAACCAAGGCCTTATGGTTTCCCACACCAATTTTGATGTTCACTTCTTGGATTAGGGTCCCTTTTCTATTTCTGTAACTTTTTGACCCCTCAAATACAGTGGCACAGGTTAGGGCTTATGAGTAGGGTTTTTCTATCCCCCTTTCATAGACATAACAATCCTCTTAAACTCTTGCTTTAAGAAGTGGGATCAGTTTTGGCTCCTCACCTTGAATTAGGCCTAAGGTATGGCTGTTGAACTCATGTGGGCATTAAAATCCATTAGAGGGTTCATCACCCTCATAAACCACCTAATCCTGCTTACTACTTTTGGTTTTTTATTTCTTCCTCATTTCCCTTATATGATGACTTCCCTTCCTTTCGATCTTGGCCATTTACATTTTAAGATTTTTGTAGAGATATGTTGTCTAAAATTTATAAAAGTTAATAGTGAACGGCCTCTTCCATTTCAGCACAGCCTGTACAAGCATGCCCTTGATTCTTTCCCCCAATCCTATATAATAAAGAGCTAATATGCTAATTAGACCCAACAGCCAAACAACCTTCGAGACGACCTTCCAGATGAAGCCAAGGCTGAGAGGGCCGGCCAAGGCTGCAAGGGCCAGCCGGGGCTGCAAGGGCCAGCCAAGGCAGCCAGGGCTGCGAGGGCTGAGCCCCTTGCATGCATTTCATGCATCGGGCCTCTAATCCAATGTATAAAAGTTTTGAGTACATTGTTCTCTGTAGATTATTTGCACCAGTGTTCACTAATTTGTTAATTTAACATTTGTTTATTGAGTTCCTATTATATATTTTTAAATATATTTTTATTGATTTCGGAAAGGAGAGGGAGGGAGAGATAGAAACATCCATGAGAGAGAATCATTGATTGGTTGCCTCCTGCACACCCCACACTGCCCTGACCAGAAACTGAATCATGACCTCCTGGTTAATAGGTCGACACTCAACCTCCTGGTTCATAGGTCAATGCTGAGCAACGCTAGCTTGGCTGAGTTCCTATTATATTATAAACTGGGGGCTGATCTTCAGCTCCATACATCACTTGCTTATTCTTTACAGATGTAAGAAGCAGTTATAATGCTGAATACCTATGTTATGAAGCGCTAAAATGTGAACCACAGCAAGAAAATATCCCCAGGATTTCCATGACAATTATACAACTCAATGTTTTCATGCCATTTAGATATTACAACTCTGAATGCATGGGTATGCACAGAATAGGAGCATTAGTCACCACTGAGTTAAGCTGCCAGATTTGTCTGCAACCTGACTTAACTTTTCCTATGTGCACACAAACAAATTACAATGAAAGCCAGAATTATTTCAGTAGGGTTTCTCAAGGAGCACAATCTTGTGCTGTGTTACCACTTGTATATAGGCCACCTTTCCTTATAAGACTCAATATGCCTTCCTTACTTGTCTGTTTCTGTCATTGTTAATCTTACTCTCCTGATTCGCTTGGCTTGTAAACATGAATCTTCTTTTTACTTTTCCTTCTCTTCAATGTCATGTTAGCAAAAGCTTCATCTTTATGTTGCTTCTCAGATTTGACCCTTCCTTCTACTTCATTCTTACAGCCTCCTCTTTGGTTTAGATGCTCAACCCTTCATAGCTAACCAGCCTCCCTAACTGTAGACTTACTTTTCCCCCATTTTTCCTAAGGTCCCTGCAGATAATCTTTATAAAATTACTAGAGGCCCCGTGCACGAAATTTGTGCACTGGCGGGGGGGGGGGGGGCTCAATCCAGCCTGCACCCTCAGGCAGTCCGTGAACCCTCAGGGGATGTCCAACTGATGGCTAGGCCCGCTCCCCGGGAAGAGCAGGCCTAAGCCAGCATTTGGACATCCTTAGCACTGCCGCAGAGGCAGGAGAGGTTCCCGCCACCGCCGCTGCGCTCACCAGCTGTGAGCCTGCTTCTGGCTGAGTGGCGCTCCCCCTATGGGAGCGCACTGACCACCAGGGGGCAGCTCCTGCGTTGAGCATCTGCCCACTGGTGGTCAGTGTGTGTCATAGCGACCGGTCACTCCGCCGTTCGATTGACTTGCATATTACCCTTTTATTATATAGGATATTATATAGGATGTTCTTATCCTGTGCCTTCTATCAAGTTGTCTTAAGATATATCTGTTGTTTATCTGACCACCTTCAAGTCCAAAGTCTAGCATTTGTTCCACTTTTATTTTGCATATTCCCCAACACCAACTTCCAAAAGGTCTCCTGACACACCCTGCTCAGTCCCATCCCTGCTCAGCCTAATGCTCCTAAGGTGCTCTTCCTGCTCCTCTTCAACCAACCCCTCCTTCAGCTCCATCCCAATCCAGCTCAGGTCCTCTGCTCTCCACAACCTCTCTGGTACAGAATTATTCTCTGCAACCAAACTTTGTCCCGAACCATCACAACCACACCGCCCCTAAACAAAAAAGCCAGCTGGAAGGCAATTTTCCTCTTCTTCACACCCATCCACCTACCTTCTTTTCTCAGGTAGCACTTAGTATCTTCAAACCTGTGTATGGTTCAATGTGTGCATATCAACAGCTTGAGAACAGGTATTTCCCTGTGTCCCCACCTAGCAACTAGCACAGTACAGGGTCAGTAAACTCAGATAAAATCCTATCTGACTTGTTGACTTGACTGGGCAGGTGAAACACTCATCAAATCAGTGGAGTGGACCAGAGACCTGCATGAATAAATAGTTTCATCTTTAGCAGCCTATTGCCCTGACTCACACAAACCTGTTCGCCTGCTGGCTGTCAAGACTTCAGTGTCTTACCTGTCTACCCACCTAACTAGTTAGCTATGAGTTACTGAAACTATGGAATGATTCCACTGATGGAGGAATCTTGCTCCTCTTCCTACATACCAACCTTGAACCATGAAAAAAGGCTTTTGATTTCACCTCTCCCCTCAGGGAATGTCAAGATGAGAACTTGCTCTCTGACTGCCGCCCCCAAGGGAGGACAGCTGCTCTTTGATTGATGAGAGCCTGGTAGCACTGGGACACGTTTCACAGGATCTATGTACAGAAAAGCTGCCCCTGGCCTTGCTCTTCTCTCTAGTTCTCCCTGAATTTTTGGCCTGCTTGAGCCTAAGCACAGTGGGCACGTGATCTTCAGTTTCCTCTGGTCAGTGGCCACCTCCCAGACACCCACCATTCTCTAGCTCCTCCATTGTCTCTGGGAGGTAAGTGCGAAGAGGAGATAAGTCAGGGAAGACTAAGTTGAAGTCACAAATAAATTCCCCAAACTCAGTGGCTTTATGTAATAGTTCATTTCTAACTCACTTAACAGTTCCAGGCACATGTTCAGGTCAGCAGGGCAGCTCTCGGCGTCATGATGCCCAGGCTCCTTCCATCTGTGGTTCCACCATCCTCTGGGGCTTCACTGATGTCTGTATCCAGCAGGCTGAAGAAGAAAGCATGATGAATTACCCAGGTTTTCAAGGGCCAGGGCTGAAAACAGCACACACTGCTCCTGCTCACACTGCACTGCAGAGAACCCAGAAGGTCACAGATGGGATTCTCAGGAAGCAGGTGTAGACATGAAGTTTGGGAGGTGCAGGAAATTTATTAGGAATCATTATCTGTAAAAGGAAGGGGGAGGAAACAGAGTTGGGCAAAGGGAGAACTCAAGCTGTAACTCAGTCCTGACAAAGCAATGACCAACCCAGTGGGGAGCTCTGGAGCAAATGGTGCCTGTCAGAGTCTTCCTCTACTGGACCAAAATGGCCAGGCTTCCCTGTCCTGCTTCAGGCAGTCAGGCGGAAGGCAGTCATACCTTGGGAGGGTGTGACATTGGGCGAGGTGGCTTTCTGCAGCTGAGGACTACCCTGAAGGAGCTGACCGCCAGAGACGGTCTACTGACTGTACTTCCTGCACCTGGGCAGCAAGACCTTCCTTGAATGAGGGTCTGGAGGCACACCTGCATGTCTACCATACCTGACCACACCTAACTGCAAGAGAATTTGAAAAATACAGTCCATCTCTGGGCCTAAGAGAGGGAAGCAGTGTGGTGACAGCTAGCAGTCAGGCATGTTGTCAACATGTTTGACAAACTGATTTTACAAAGGAGACTGCACGTGGGCGTTAAAGGACATAGCAGATAGTCTGACCTCCGTTTAGCCACATGTGTTTACTCCATCTGCTAGAACCTGAGGGGGGTGGCCTGACAGACACAGGAACCTACCCCTGGCAATAATGTCCATCAAGTGCCTGGATTGGAGGTGCCTGGTCAATGTGGCTCCCGTCAGCAGCTTTTATTTCTGAATTGGACTTCTTTGAGAGCGTGAACAGTCCAGCTCATCAGTGCCCCGAGGAAAAGGGGGAGATGAAATGGCCTGAAAACAAAGGTCCTTCCTGTGTCCCCACTTAGCAACTGCCCTTGTTTATGCCTGGGCCCATCAGCCTTGACCTCTGAGGTGCTGAGGACCTACAGTCACTTTCTAGGTCCAAGACAGAAACCTGGAGACCTAGAAAAGAATCCCCCACCTTGTACCAAGTGACCTACTTTTCTCTTTTGACTGGCACTTTCTGAGGTTCCAGTGGTCAAAAAAAAAGTTGGGAAGCTCTCTGTGCCTGTCACAGCTAAGGACACTAAGGACACAGCCACCAGGCCCTCCTCTTTACCCCGCACATGAAAGCATTGGGGAATTTCAAACCAGGCACAAGTCCTGATCAGCCAGGTAGCTCCTGAGCATTTGGAACCACAGAGAACCAGGACTGGGTACCATCCCACCTCCCTGAAAAGGGAACCTGGCAGACTGCCTGCGAAGATGGGTGAAGGTCAGGAAGGTTGCAAACTTGGCTGGATGGGAAAGTCTCGGCCCACCTCCTCATCCTATCACCTCTCACTGATGCCCAAAGCTTGGTATTCCCTTTAGGGAACAGAGGATCCATCACAGAACCATCTCAGGCCTGATAAGGCCCTCGCCTAATCAAATGACCTCACAGAGCCTCCAGGATGCAACCATTCAATGGGGCGAGAATATCAAGTCCACCTACCTCTCTGTTGGCCTTTTACACCGTGGGTCTGTGGACTCCAGGATCCATGCACTTCCTCCTGGAGACCAATGGGCTCCCTCTGTTATTTTTATTTTTTATTTGTATAACCTATAATGACTTCTGCAAGCTGACTCTAGCTTACCCAAGGGTCATGTTATACTGAGTACTGGGTTAGTTCCTGGACATCTGGAACCACAGATGTTTCATGATCTTAGACAGTATTTGTGTTTGGATCCAAAGGAGACCAAGACATTTCAGCATGTAGAGACACATGAATGAAGGTGGTGTAGTTATTACTGCTGTAACAAATCACCACAAATTTAGAGGCTTAAACAACACAAAGTTATTATCATACAGTTCTGGAGATCAGATAATCCAGGATAATCTGCCATTCCAAGATCCTTAGCTTAATCATACCTGCAACATCCCCCTCACCGCGTAAGGTTGCATATTCACAGGTTCTTGGGATAAGACATGGACATCTCTGGAGGCCACTATTCTGTCTACCACAGACAGTTTTCCATTAGTTCAAACAGTCCAATGGCAGACAACATGGACATAATAATAAGGAATGGTCAAGATGGCAAAGTGAGCCTTTTCCATTTATTCACTAATTTCCTATAACAATCCAACTATCATTCCTGTGGTTCTTTAATTTAACTACATCTGAAGTATTTGAAAAATAATTTCAGATATTCTCTTCCTGAATAGAGCAGAAATAATATTGAAAATAAAAGAAAACAAGCTTTATAGACTTCATGGTTTCTTCCCTTTTCTAGTCCCCCCAATGCATTAAGATCTCTTCTTGTTGAAAGGAATGAAATAGATGGACTTGTACATGAAAAGCAACCTTCAGAGCAGCATGTTTAATGTGATCCCATTTCCATAAAATAATAGATGTTTGTTGCCACATAGGAAATATCCAAAAGAATATAAACCAAACTAATAACATTGTTATCCTGGGGGCTGTGGGCAGCAGGCAGGAGGCAGCAATAGAAATATAGAGATTTTTAAATTTTTTCATTTATGCTAACAGCAAGACACCCAGGAAAACACACATGGTGTCAAAATAAGCCAAAGGAAAATCATTTGGGCAAATATAAAAAATACCCCAAGTAAAATTCCCTTTATTAACCTTCGGTCGAGAATATGTTTGTATATTTTCAGAAAACAACTCCAAGACCATGTGGATTCCTGCAACAGAGAGGAATTATCAGGAATGCTCCAGCCATGAAGACAAGAGGAAAAACAATCCAGAGATGAAGGACGCTGACGTCACGTGGGCAGCAGAAGTAAAGAAGCAAAAGAAATATAGAGATTTTCAGTTTCTAAATCATAATTTCTGTAATGTTTAATTATACTTTTATTATATGTTACACATTATATTATACAATCATTTTATGTATATTATATTTTGCTTTTATATATTAAATATTTTATGCAAAATATTATATAACATAATATATAAATAAACGTATCTATAACAATGAAAAAATAGGACTGCTTATTTATGTTAAAAACTAAAAGGCTCTTCTAAAATACAGCTTTTTCTGGAGAATAGCATCAACCAAAACTTCAGGATTCTGCCCAATCAATGTGAGTCTTAGGCCTTACCTCTGAGTGCTATCTATTCCCTCCTTTCCAATTCCTCCTTAGAAAACTTAGATCTGCCCCCTACCATTGCAATCACAGGAAATGTAGGTCAGGTAATAAGTAACCAGGGTTTATTTTCTTTGGAAAATAGTACACTCAAGCAAAATAGGCCAGTTCCCACTTTCCAGGGCAGAATCCTAGAGCTTTGTCCGGGGGAGGGACCCTGAGGTCACTGAAAGCAAGCCCCTCGTTGTACCCAGAACTAGGTCACCAGCGCGTAAGCAGAAGCACTGGGATTCAAGCCAGGTCTGTGGGACTCCTGAGCCATGTTCTTGCCCCTTGATTGCCCCTGGCCAACTACTGAACATGATCTTTCCTGGGGCTCCAAACTGGGCTCCAGAGAGCTGGCAGGGCCCGGGTATGCAGTAATGGCTCCACTCATGCCCCACTTGGCCCTGACCTGGGACACTAGTGACCATGGGGAGTGACTGCGAGCATGTCACCCAAACAATTAGCCCTGAGACAGGCATGTCACAAACATATCAAAGGTTTTTGGAGGGTGGGGTCTGGGCAGCTGCTGCAAAGCAGCACCATCTGCATTAACACTGCAGTCTTGACAATTTCTTAAATAGCCTTTGGCTCTTTACATGTGGTTTTACAACCAGGCCATTCTCTAGAGCAGTGGTTCTCAACCTTGGCTGCACATTAGAATCACCTGGGAATCTTTTTAAAATCCTGATTTCTGGGCCTCATCCTCCGGAAATTCTGTTTCTTTGTTATGGGGTGGGGCCACAACATTAGTAACAAAATTCTGTTTTGTTATGGGGTGGGGCCACAACATTAGTAACAAAGAAACAGAATTTCCGGAGGGTGAGGCCCAGAAATCAGGATTTTAAAAAGATTCCCAGGTGATTCTAATGTGCAGCCAAGGTTGAGAACCACTGCTCCAGAGTGAACTAAATGTGATATGACTCACAGACCCCAAAATGGTTCTGGCCAATGCAGAACCATTCTGGGGTCTGTGCAGACAAATGGGAACGGCTTCCAAAAATTATTGGGAGTGTTTACATCACCCACCGAGCTTCGGGAGAGCTGGAAGAGTCTCAATGCAGAAAAGCCTGAGGTCCACGCAGAGGGTCAGGACAGGAGGTCACAGGATACGGCATGTGCCCCAGGGCTCACCAAGGAGCAGGAGTCCAGGCAGAAAGGCAGCCTTCATGGCAAGCACACACACACACACCCCACTGTGTATAAGCCTGCTTGTGATAAGTGGTCCACCACCGAGAATCCTGTTTGGAGTGTAGGATGGATGCGAAACATCAGGAAGCCCTATCTTCCAAATGCAGGCATTTCGTTCTTTCTGAGTTCCTCTGTTCAAAGGCTTGGGCACTACAGTGAGGTGATTTCTGCACCACTAACGCTTGATTTGTTCAAAGGCTTGCTTCTTTCTTGCCTCTTACTGTGGCCAATTATCACAGCCTGGCTGCAAGGGAGGCCCGAGCCCACAGAACCTGAAACCTTCCAAGCTGGGTCAGACCTCAGAGACCACCTGGGAGGGATCAGAGTCACACCATCCGGGGCTTTGTATGCAAGATCACAACGGAGATGAATGGTCTTAGGGCCTCCAGCGCTCTGGGAGTCCTCTCGGGAGAGGAGGCGCTTTTGCGACTCCGATTTTCAGTTTCCCTACCCAGGGTGTGCCAGAAAGCAAGAAAAGGCAGGCGGTCCCCGGGGCCCAACCACCTCGGCAGTCTTCCCTTCCTCCTCCACCCCTGGACCTCCCTTCCCCTCCCAGGGCTGGAAGATTCCCCCGGGTAGGGGCGGGAGCTACAGAAGGAGCTAAAGTAAGCCAGGCGCCAGGGTCCGAGCAGGAGAGGGCGCGGATGTGAGAAGGACGAAGACGGACACGTGAGGACGAAGACGGGAGTGAGAAGGACGAAGACGGGACAAGAGGACCAGCAGAGGAAAGCAGGGGAGGTCGTGCGCTCACCTCTTCATCCTCTTCCACCGTTTGAACTTTGAACATGTCGCGGTGAAGGTGCACTAAACAGCGTGGACACTCTTCGTGGTCTCGTGTGCGTGCGCGCGTGCGTAAGCGTGTGCGTCTCGTGCGTGCGTCTTGTGCGTGTTCGTGCGCGCGCACGTGGGCTAGTCAGCAGAGGGAACGGAGATTGGAAGGTTTCCTCTCTCACTTTGGAGACCTGAACTGCGAGGGCGCGGAAGAGCCTTGCAGCCACGTACAGAAACCAGCTGAGAGAGGCTGCCTTGTTTGGCATTGCCCCCCTGTCCCATCGGAGAACCTCAGGGCCTCCAAAACCCTAAGGAGAAACAGTCACCCATCCAACCAACCCCTCAGGGAGCAGCTGCAAGAGGAACCGGGGGCAGGGGGACGTGCTCCACGCTGGCACACCCCGACAGGGTCCGGCACGGGCTCCCCGGACAGCTTGGCCTTTACCAAGCCACTCCTCCTCTTTTCAAAGTTTCTTGGAGCCCACAGTCATGTCACCTTGCAGGAAGGCCTGGGGTTGCGTCATGACGGGTCCTAGACAGTTTGGGAAAGGGTGAGACACTCCGGGCTCCTCAGAGCCGGGTGGCCCAGCGCTGAGGCACGTGATAGGGATGGAGGTCCTCCTTCCGCCTCTGCTCGCTGTGCCTGATGCCTCTAACCAAGCTACTGCCCGGCACCGAGGAAACCCTCTGAGTTCAGAGGGGTGAGGCTGGAGAGGTGGAGGTGTGGGGGTAAAAAAAGGCATGGACCATGGCAGCACGATGGTCTTTCTGGTGTCTCTGAAAAGGCAGTACAAACAAGAACTTGGGAGTGATGTCTATAAAGCAGTGGTTCTCAACCTTCCTCATGCCTCGACCCTTTAATACAGTTCCTCATGTTGTGGTGACCCCCAATTTCATTGTTACAAATTGAACATAATTAAAGCATAGTGATTAATCACAAAAACAATATGTAATTATATATGTGTTTTCCAATGGTCTTAGGCGACCCCTGTGAAAGGGTCGTTTGACCCCCAAAGGGGTCGCGACCCACAGGTTGAGAACCGCTGCTATAAAGCATTTGAGACTTGATCATTGGTTGGCATCAGCTATCAGAGCCTCTTATTTCCCTTACCCCGCTCGCTGACCTCCCCACTCCTCCCTAAGCCCTTGTCCAGGCCGTTAACACCCAAAGCAGGAGGATCTCCACTCCTCTGCCGTCCCCTCATGGGACCTCTGTCCCAGTTCACCACCCTCTGCCTGAAAGATCTCAGGATCCTTCCTGCTAACTTCAGCCCCCAAAACTCTGCCCAAGGACTGTACACGCAAGTTTGTCTATAGTCCAGATCTGGGCTGCCTTCTCTGCCACCTTGGAAATCACAGAGATGAACGAAGATCCAGCCCCACCCTAACAAAGCTCTCCACCTGGGAGAGAGATGGAATCTATATGCACTAGTCCCATAGAGTGTATGGCACAGGGTGCTGTAGGAGAGAAGCATCAAAGAGCTGTGGAATCCCGAGAAGGGAGCCATCATTCCGAAATGAGTAGACCTGGGACAGCGAGGGAAGGGTCAGAGGGTAAAAAGATGATGAGCAAGGAGTCTTGGGTCAGGCAGACTAGGTAAATCTTCCACCTCCTACAGTGTGACTTTAACACAGTACCTGTTAACACCCTGAGCCCAGTCTCACCAGTCATGTAGGGATAATACCCACCTCACAGAGTTATTGAAGACTTACTGAAGATTGTGTACTTGGAACTTGCTTCCTTGTGGATGCTCAATAGGCATTATTTCCACAGAGGAGGAAACAGTGTAAACTCTCTGAGGCCAAGGCCTACAGTAGAGTTTAGGACATGGGCTCTATGGAATCAGAAGAACTGAGTTTGAATCCTGACAAAGTAGGTGGCCTTCCTAACTTCAGTTTCCTCATGTATAAAATGGGAATGATAGCCCTAGCCGGTTGGGTTCAGTGGATAGAGTGTCGGCCTGCGGACTGAAGGGTCCTGGGTTTGATTCCGGTCAAGGGCACATGCCCGGGTTTCGGGCTCAATCCCAGCATGCAGGAGGTAGCCAATCAATGATACTCTCTCATAACTGATAATTTCTATCTCTCCCTCTCTCTTCCTCTCTGAAATCAATAAAAATGTATTATAAAAATAATAAAATAGGAATGATAATAAGACCCAACTCAGAGGCCTGTTGGGAGGACTAAATGGAACTAGCTTAGTTCAGGACCTAGTATTTAATAAGCACTTAATAAATGTCAGCTATTGTCACAGCTTATGGGTTCATGCAGCCTTGCCCAACTGGTACATGTTACTCACTGGCCCAAATCCCAAATGGCCTCTTGGGTGGACATGAAGTGAAGGTCTCTTGGAGGCCACAGAGAGAACAGACACACCCATGGGCTCTGGTGAGTCCTTTTATAAAGAGACCATTCTGCCAATGTTGCACAAGCTCAACTAATGTCAACAACCTGCCTGTTGGCTCCTCTATCCCATGATTCCAACCTGTTTGTCTGAAACTTTCTTCCTGATAGATGTTTACAAGTTCAACTTCAAGTAATCAATAGTATCATCAATATAGTCAACCCACTCTTCAATTTAGTCACTCTAAACACCAGTCAGGTTGGACTTTGATCTTGCCTCTGAGCTGTTATGATAACACAGTAGTAAATAATGTCTGTCCAGCGTATGCAGCATCTTTGCCACACACTGCCACACTGGATCCCCACAACAATCCCATGAGACCGATGGGGCAAGGATGTCCCAGCTGGTGGAGAGTAAATAGACCTTCAGCAGCTGCTCTAGTTTTTCTAAATTGTCATTGTTTTAGGGGTCAGCAACATGGAGAGGGGAGTTTCTTGAAAACTGACATTCATAGAAACACCCTGCTGTGGGTTAATGTGGGGGTGGCTTGGGGGAACTAATAGCCACCCCTGGGAAACACCAGACCTTCTATATCATCTAATTCAACTTTCTCATTTTACAAATGGGAGAAGATGAGGCCCGAAGAAAGGAAACAACTTACCCAGGGTCATAAGATGGTCAATGCAGAGCTGGAAACA